GGATGTTGGGTGAGGAGTAGATTGGGGAAAAGAATACCCAGGAGACTGTTAGCAGTGGTTTGTCTCCATATAGCCTTTTATACTGCTAATTTTTTTTTTCTGAGTATGTGTGTGTGTGATCTTGCTTAAAAAAGACATTAAAAATAAGAAAAAATATTCATAGCTAACAGTTATTATGTATTGTGAGCTGTGTTGCTCATTACAGTGAACACCTAGAATTAAGGTTAGATGGTTCATGGCAGTGGCAAACAGTGCAGTCCACACAGCTGAGCCACAGTCTTCTCTTCTATTGGGCAGCCCCAGATAGGAGAGCGGATCGTATCAAAGTAGACAAAGAACAGAAAATGGGCAGCCTCGTAGCCCTTGGAACAATGAGCCACACTCCAACCCATAGTTGGCATCATCCAGCTTCCGGGTCTTTGCCAGCTGAATAGATATCAAACAATGTCTCTTTGCTGTTTTAAAGGAGGAAAAAAATGACTAATGGGTTGAGAGTCTCTCATTAGAATGCAGGTTTTCTTAGCTTATAATCTTCATGAGTGGTCTTAATTGTAGCAACAGAGGCCAGCTCTGGCTAATTTAAGGACTGTGTGATAAAAATGTTAGATGGCTCAGAGATTTTCCAGGAAGGCTAGTGACCCAGGCCTCGAGAGTAAAGGAAACTGCGCAGCCAGGACCCCATGGAAGTCATGCTACTGACCCAGTCCAATGAGGACACAGGAGTCCCTCCCTCCCAAACACACAGACACTGAACACTGGGCCCTACAGCCACATTTTATTTGCACTACTACTGCCACCACCAGAATTAATGCTCCACTGCCCTGCCTTCTTGTATCATTTTGTAGCTTCAGATTTAGAATTTGGGCAGGTGCACCTGATTGCTGAAACACAGGAGGGAAGCACGGAAAACAAAGTACCAGTATTATCAGCTTCTCTAGTGGGAGTGGGACTCTGCTTCCCACTAAGACTCAGAATTCATACTTGGGCAGTTCCCTAAACATGGGAAGGGGTTCAGATGCTAGGCAACCGAAGGATGGCTGATGTCCTTAGAGCCGGGCCTCTCAGGGGTAGGGACAGGCCAGTCCACTTCCATTTTTTGAGGTTCCCAAAGTATGAAAAAAAAGTGATGAAATGCCAAAATTGGATTATAATAGAAGAGCAGCATTCTTAAATAAAATAATAAATGTAATTGTTCTGTTCTTTTCTCAAAAGAGTTTTAGGATTTTATTTGCTTGTTCTTGGCAGAACTCATTGAAGTGTAAAGTCAGAAATGAGCCACGGGTTAAAAGTTGGGTCCTGTCAAGGTTTTTCTGTGACTGTATGTTTAACCTTACCTGGTGATCATGTCCAAAGAGTGATTGTGAGGCCTGGGCCATATCCCCTCTGGGCCAGCACTGTGCCAGGCCCTGTGTGGGCAAACTGTCCAGTGCTGCCATGCTCTGACCCACTCTTGGGCAGCAGCCCCCTCTACATCTGGTCATTCAAGAGCCAAGAGGTGCCATGGATGTCATGCAGATGCTAAGAGCCAAAGAGGCAAATGACTGCCCCCTGAGGCCATCTAGAATTGAATATAAGCATGCTATTAAATGAGCTGAACTTGACAAGACTCAAGTAAACACTAAGTTTATTTTTCCCCTACACCCTTTCTTTCTGCAGCTTGCTTAGCTCCTTGGGTGCCATGGCTTCTTCAAGCATTTTTAGATGATTAAAAAGTCCAGTCCAGTTTAATAATCACACAGCTCCAGGCCAGAGTTATACCAAAATTCCCAATCTTATTCCAGTGTCACGTGTCCCTTCCAGCCCTGCAATGCCTCAGGCTCACAGCCCAGAGGAGGCCAGCCACTGGGATTCCTCTTTTTTGGCTCTCTCTCATCTCATCTCTTCTCCCGCTCCTTGGTTTTTACTTTGAACTCACCTCAGGCCCTGCCCTATGGGCAGAGAGTAGGTATAAGGGGTGGCAAATATATAGCTGATCTGGTACAGCATTGCTCTTTTAGGCTGACCCTTAGGGTGGTATTATTTATAAAATGACTCTATTCTGGCTCCTCAGCAAAGGGCTATTATTTGGTCCAAGGGAGCCATGCACCTTTGCTGCATTGTTGGTGGGCCAGCAGCTCACTTCCAGTGTAGCCTTCTTCCTCATTTTGCTCTGCCAGGCCAAATGAGCCACGTTTTGATTTCTACCAGCAAGCACTGGCATCAGCCTTGTGTCCTCTAGACTTCAGGGCCATGTCAAGTGATGAAATGCCAAAATGGGATTATAATAGAAGAGCAGCATTCTTGAATAAAATAAGAAATGTAATTGTCTTGGAGTCCCTCTATTGTGCATCTTTTTTAGAAATCCTCACCTGAGGATATGGTTATTGATTCTAGAGAAAGAGAGGAAGGTGGGGTGGGGGGAGAGAGAGACAGTAATCGGTTGCCTCCTGTACTCACCCTGACCATGGTTTGAACTGCAACATTGGTATGTGCCCTGACCAGGAATCAACAGTGCAACACTTAACTGAGCCACCCAGCCAGGGCTATTGTACATCTTACTTGTGAGTGGGAAGCTCTCCTCATCTTCCCACTCAGGTCAGAACACCGCACTCACAGAACAGTCCTCAATGTCTGCCTCTTCCGCTTCCCAGTTCCTTGTATGTGGCCTGGAGGGGGTCTTGAGCAAGTGCTGACAGAACCAGTTTTCAGAGTCTACATGGATGGTCTAACACCCCCCATTAGGTTGGGCTGTGGCAGTGCTTGGTATCTGTCGACTGTTCATGGCTGAAACTAAAACAGCGAAGGTCCCCTTTTCATACCCTGTATTCATTTCATAGATGTCATTCTCAGTGCTGTCGTCTGTGAAGACAGCAGAATGATGCCAATCCCTCAAACCTATTTTACAAGTTAAAGAGATCATCTATGGAGGAAATCTTTTCCAAATTGCAAAGCACACCACCCGCTCTGCTCTTTGCTTATCTCACAGGCCAGTGCCACGGTCTCCACCTGTGTCAGCCACACTGTGCAAAGGAATGACGCTCTCACTTGTGAGGCCGGCCTTCAGGGAGGCCAGTTCTGAGCAATCCCAAGTGCACCAGCTACAACCACACCTTTTCTCCCTCACTGTAGAAAGCTTATGAGCCAGACTCTTACTGTTACAGGGTCAGCCTTGGCTCTGTGCCATATTTTTTTCTAAGTTAATGTTTAAAAATCTCTCTCTAGCTGTTATGATAGGAGGCTCCTCCTAAAAGGATATGATACAGTACCAGAAAGGTTGTTGTCATGTGTCTCAAGGGTCCATAGGGACCCACCACTTTGGGGGAAATCCTGTGCCTGCATTTGGCAGTGGCTAGAGGCCAGTCTGGGGAGACTGATGGAGCAGTGCCAGAAGTCTATTATGTTTTGAACTCATTGCTGGTGAGTCTCTGCGACTGGCGCACATGAGGCTGGTCAGAAGGGCTCTGTCTGGGTGTGATTATCCTGATGGTCACCGTTTGGGGTATGTTTTTGATCTTGTGTCAGCAAGAGAAACGGCATTGTCCAAGAGCATGTATGTGCTGGCCCTCCACTAATGAGGCCTTCCCACACATTTCCTGGTCATCTACCCTGTTGGTCATCACCTGGTGGCGTGTCCTGCCCACATTCCCCTCTCTTCCAGTGATGCCACCCTCATTTTTCTCAGAGAAGACATTCTTCCTGTTTTCAGTGCCTGAGGTTTGAGGGGTGGGCACTTGAAGGCCTGACTGTGTTAAATGATTTATCCTCATGATCTCAGCTAACCTCACAGCACCACTGATTTTTCAGACAACTTGAATTTCTGTGCCCTCTCTTCCAGCTTGGTTAGAATCAAGGTGGTAAATGTTTTTCCATTATTAGGGCTTTAATTATTTTTAATTGTTTAATAATGCATGAATAAATCTCTATTACAATAAAACAACCCAGAAGTAAACTGTGAAATACCTCTTTACTTCTCCCTGACACTTCTCCCTTCCTAGGGGCAATCTTTCTTTTGTTTAGACCCATATATGCACATTACAAATGTATAGTTTTCAAAAGTAAATAAATAAATAGAATAACACTATATATATTGTTTTGAAACTTTATTTATCACCTGGGTGATCTTTCCATGTCAGAATATACATATCTACTATATTTTTTTCTAATGGCATTTTATTTTAGGACCATCTTATAATTTATGCAGCCATTTAAGCCCATTCCCTCATCTGTAAAATAGAATAATTACCTGCCACATGGTAATTGAGAGGGTTAAAGAAGATAACATGTCGGCCATTACTGTTGTCCCTCCAGCCCAGATCTCCTCCCAGCATCCAAGCATCTTATTGTTTAGCCCTTTCCCTTCAGAGTCTAGGTGTTTTATCCTTCCATCCACCAATTCCACCTGACCCACATATACCATAAAAAAACAGAATAAGGAAAGACAATACTTGCTATCAAATTTATTTAGGTAATTTTTGTTCTGTCATTTTTCATAAATGTCCCTGAAAATACGAATTTATTGAATGATGGAAACTTTCGCAAAAGTCCACAGGAGAACAGGATGCCCCTTCGTACCTGGAGTCCTGCATCCCGCACTCCTGGCCTGCCGGGTCAGCAGCTCTTAAGGGCAGATGCTTCTCTCCTGTCCCAAGTCCCTGGGCAGCTTCCTCAGATGCTGGACACTGCTCTTACCTCCTCTTTTACACTCAGGAAAGCACAGGAGCTCTCCAGCTGCCGTGGGGAACTCATTTATCTCCAGAGCCCTCTCTCACCTTGACTACTCCTCAGGGCCTAATTCATAGCATGTGGGGAGATGGGCAGGGAGGGCAGCATGGTGAAATCAAGAGTTGGGCTTTGGCGAGCACATCCTGAGGAAGGCTGGGTGCCCGCTCCCCGCTGGCTGCGTCCGTCCCCGACTGCCACTCTCAGGTCCCGCCTGACTTGAGCTAGGAACTGCCCTGTGGACGAGATGTCTTTTAGTCCAGGCCACTCAGCCACCCACTCCACAGCTCTCAAAGAGTCCACTACTTGTTCCCTACCTTGGACATCTCCTGAAGTTGCCCCTCTCCTCCGTCATTCTTCTGTTTCAAGCTGCTCTCCTGCCTCCAAAGGCCCCAGATCCCAGTCAGCCTACCCAGCAGCCTCTGAAACTCAGCTCGAAACCCCGATGATGAGAAGTAGTAGACCAGGGGATCGACACAGGAATTCAGGGTGCTGAGGAGCAGCACGTAACTTCTCCACGTTGGGCTTTCACCCTGGAGGTAGCCTACAACATGGGACACGTTGTAGGGCCCAAAGCAGACGAGGAAATTAAGCAGTGTGGCTGCCACAAGCCCTGCCACCCTTTTCCGCCGGTGATGGCTGGCTCCCCTACTGAGCATGCACAGCAGGCGGCTGTAGCAGTAGCTGGTGATGAGCAGGGGCACCCCAAAAAGGACAACAGCCATCTCCAGCCGGACAGGCAGGAGGACAGCCAGCTGATCCTCCTGGAATTTCAGGTAGCAGGTGCCATTGGCACCCTGGCTGTGCGAGGAGTTCCCCGAGAATTCAGTGACGTAGACCACGCTGCAGTGTGCACCCGTCAGGAGCCAGCAGGCCCCGCTGACCAGGCCAGCCTGGCCCAGCCTGGGCCGGGTCTTGTACCACAGTGGGTAGGCCACACTCAAGAAGCGCTCGATGCTCACAGCTGCCAGGAAGAGGGAGGTAAGGTAGATGGTAGTAAAGAAGAGGAATCTGGAGAAAGGGCAGAAGATGAAGGGCAGGGGCCAGCGCATGCCGTTGGCTGCTTCCACCATCCGCAGGGGCAGGAAGAGCAGCAGGAGCAGGTCCGAGAGGGTCAGGTTCAGCAAGAGCACGTCCACGGCCACCGGGCGGCGCTGCAGCTTGCCCACGAAGATCACCAGAGCAGCCAGGTTGAGGGGGAGCCCCACGAGGAAGGTGAAGAGGTACACGGAGAAGCAGAGCCACTGATTGCCATGGAAGAAGGACCAGTCCAGGCTTGTGTCCATGGTAATGGCCACTAGAGACAGAGAGGAAAGAAAGAGAGATGACAGTGTGGGTGGAGATCTTGCACCAGCAGCATCTCAACAATACACAGGCAACATTGTCACCAGCCCCACTTCCTCATGCCCCCTGGTGCTTTCTCCAGTGGGACCAGCTGGCCTGTCTCCTATTGCTGGCCCCAGTAAAGCAAGCATCAAGCTGCTCGTCCATATAGCCACTCAGGGACCAGTACTCACCTGCTTGTTTGAGAACCCAAGTGTTCTGCCTCTCAGCACCTTGAGGGTTCCTCCAGAACAAATGCAGTTAGCTATTCATCTGACAGAACTTATAAAGACCTGGCAGTGGCCATGACGTCACTCACTGCTGAGCGACGGGACAAAAGATGCCTTTAGCTCTGTTAGCAGAGCTGCACAGTATGCAAAATGAAGAGCAAATTCCACACATGTAGGCCTGGCTGCTAGGGCAGCCTCTGACAGAATGCCTTAACCAAGCCGGGCCAGACTTCGTCCTTCCCTCCCTGATTCTCCAGTTGCATGTATCTGCTTCTCTAGAGTGGCACTCATCCTGTGTGTCTTGTAAGGGCAGGAAGCACAATGCAGTGATGGAGAGTATGGGGCCAGAGGCCTGGGTTCAATGTCAGCTCTGTCACTTATTAACTCTAATGGGGGGCAAGTGACTTAAACTCTCTGAAACTCTGCTTTCTCATCTAAAACAGAGATAATCATAGTACCAGTCTAATGTGTTATATTGTAAATTAAATAATTAATACATGTCAAATGCTTAGAAGGGAGCCTGACATGTTACAATGAGAACTCAACAGATGTTAGCTGCCATCGTCCCAGTTACTGGTGTGAACTCGTCTCTGGGGTGAGGGTAATAATAATATTAATAGTGATGGTGATGGTGGTGATGATGATAGCAGCTACCTTTTAGGGGGCACATGATCTATAGCAGATACTCTGCTTCTCAGGGTATCACCATTATGTCTTGAAATCCTCGTGCCTTCCAGTGTGGAAGTGACTTGCTCCAGGTAATACAACTCTTTTAAGTATCACCACCAGAATTCAAACCCAAGTTCTGTCCAGCTTCAGACATTATTTATTTATTCATTCAAATATTTATGGAATAAAATGAGATACCATTTCACTCACATGCCACTGAAATAGCTATAAGTAAAAACGTCAGATAATACCAAATATTGGGAAAGATGTGAAGAAATGGGAATCCTCACATATTGCTGGTGAGAATATGAAATGGTGGAGTCACTTTGGAAAGCAATTTGACAGTTTCTTAAAAACGTAAACATAAACTCACTATGTGAGCCAATTCCCTTATAGGTATCTACTTAAGAAAAATGAAAACATACGTCCACACAAAATCTTGTTCATAAATGTTCAAATAGCACCGGTCCTAACAGCCAGAAGATGGAAACATCACTCGGTGGTCCATCAGCCAGCAAACGGATAAACCGGGTGGCATATCCACACAATAAAACATGATCTAGCAATAAAAAGGAATGAAATACCTATGTGTACTATAATGTGGATGAACCTCAAAGACATTATGCTAAGCGAAACAAGACAGAGATATGAAATGTCCAGAACGGACAAATTTATAGAGACAGCAAGTAGGTTACTGGTTGCCTGAGGAGTGGAGGTGGAAATGGGATGCGCTGCAAATGAGCTTGGGGGTCGTACTAGGGTGATGAAAATATTCTAAATTGTATTATAATGATAGTTGCACACCTCAGGAAATTTACTAAAAACCACTGTATTGTACACTCCAAATGGGTGAATTTTATTATATAAAAATGTTATGTCAAATAAGCTATTAAAAGTACAGCAGTGAACAAAACAAAGTTTCTGTTGCCGTGGTGCTTACATTTGGTAATAGGGGTGTGGGGGTAGAGGCTGAGTGGGAGGATAATACAGACAGCACTGGAGGAAGCATTGCAGGCGGAAGGAATGGTGGGTGCATAGGCTTGACCTGCTGGGGCAACTGGTAGAAGGTTTAGGGCTCGAGCGGCGATGGTCAGGAGACGATGCCAAGGGTGGTCAGGCAAGGAGGCCCCATTGGCTCCAGGGAGGAACTGAAATCTCCCCTAAGAGGGGGAGCCACAAGTAACTGGAAGAAGTGGCCCAGCAGCACATGCTCTGGAGCACTGGGAGAAAGAGTAGTCCTTGGGGTTACTGGGAGGGGCAGTGGGGCCACCTGAGCTTTTACCAAAATTCTTTGGTGTCACCACTGTACAGGGAATAAAACTGTTTCTGCCTCCCACAGAGCCTCTGGCAAGTTACTTAACTTCTCTGGTATGTTTCCATATTTATAAAACAAATGATAAAACTTTCTTTGGAGGGCTATCGTGAACATTCATTCATTCAGCAAACATTTGCTGACAACCTACTATGTGTTAGATTCTCTTCTAGGTGCTGGGGATATATCAGCAAATAAAACAAAATTCCTTGCCCTTGTAGACATTTACACATGAAAAGAGATAACTTGTATAAACCAATTCGCACACAGCTACCACTTTTGTTGCTCCTGTATGTTCACGGCATTACTATCATTAGAGGAACAATTAGGCTTCCTACACAAGACCTCATCAGAGCAGATGCCCAAGCGTCTGTCTCCTGTATGTCCACTCTCTTCTGCCCACTTTCTCATGCCACCATTCATCTTTGCAAAATGGACCCCAAGGATAGACATTAATCCAATAGCCCAAGTTTTCCAAATGTCTCCTGACCTTTGGGGGTCCTGCCTTAAAGGATCACATCCTACATCTACCCATTCCTTGCTGTAGGACCTTGGGCAAATTTCTTCACCTTGCAAAATGAAGATTATAATGGCTTCAGATCTGTAGCTAACTCATGCAGTACCTTTGTGCAAATTAGGAAAAGGTGCCCCCTCCAGGTGAACACAGCCCTGCTGTGTACCCAGTGTCCCGTTTGAGGAGTGGGTGGTGTTTTTGTTCAAATTAGAATGAGATGCTGCTTCTCCCAGATGGAGGCCACCCCGAGCCAAGCGCATGGCTTGGTGGGCAAAGTACAGGCTAGAATTCAGTCAGTGTTTTCCCCTCTCCCTGGCACCCTCATACAGTGAACAATCTGCCCATCTAAACCACAACTGCATGGCTAAATCAAAGGACTGTGTGCAGATGACATGAGACAACACTTGTAAAGCACTTGGCATGGTGGCTGTCACATGTTAGAGAATCTATATTTGTTTGTAACTATTTCTGGTGTTGCTGAACCATCCCTTCCAACTTCCTGTTCATAGTTCCAATGCTGCCCCCTTGTGAGTTCCATATGGTATCACAGTGCCTTTATTTTGCTTCCTGCCTCCTCTTTCATTCAGAAATTTTGTTCTTTCCTAGGAAAAGATTTAGGAGTATCATCTCCCAAAGTGTACCATCAGAGGGGCAGTTCCTCTAGATTAGAAACAAACTTCCCTCCTTCCCCACTGGTGAAAGGCCTCTGCCCATAGCACATGGGCAGACAGGCAAGTAAGGACCAAGGAGAGAAGAGGCACATCAGGGGAGTCATGCTGTTGTGTGTAGAGATAAACTCACCTTTCTCCTGTGACTCAGCTCCTGCTCTCCACTCTTCTCTCCCACTGAGATGCAGTCTTTCCCAGTGCAGTCCTTCCTGAAAGTGGCTCCAGGGGTGCCCCCAGGCAAGGCCACCCTGCCGTGCCTTTGGAGCAGCCCCCACCAGGGGCCTAACAAAGCAGCTGGGGTCTGCTGCATGTTCCTTCTCTCTAGCAGTGGCTACTACTTCTGGGCTGTACCCCCTTTCATTCTTGCCACACATGATGTTCCATGGCCAAACCCACCTCCCAAGTAGCCTGTCACGAGTGGGTTGAGCACAACGCTCCAAGCACCTGTAAGGAGCCCCAACTTTCGCCAGCGGCCTCCCATGTTGGGGCGCAGGAAGCCAGCCACATTGGAGGCGTTGTAGGGTCCCAAGCAGAGCAGCAGTGTGAGCAGAGCCCCACCAGCCACCCAGGCTGCTCTTAGTTTCCGTCTGTGGCTCAGGCCTGAGCCGGCTAGTGCCCGCAGGCAGCCCACATAGCAAAAGGCCGTGATGGTCAGTGGCAGAAAGAAGAGCAGGAGAGAGAGGCTGAGGCGAGCAGGGCCCGCTGAGGCTGGGTCCCAGGCCTCCAGGCAGACCGGAGAGCCATTGACTGGTATGTTGATGCCCAGGGAGCTGGTGGTATTGTCCATCCAACCTCCCGGAGCCTCCAACCCAAAGACCAGCCCCAGATGACAGAGGACAAGGGCCCATATGGCCACACACACGCCCCAGGAATAGCAGGGCCTCCGGGCGGCTTGGTAGCCCAAGGGGAAGGCGGCTCCTAGGTAGCGGCCAACACTCAGGGCAGCCAGGAAGCCACCACCTGCATAGAGTGGAGCAAAGTGGGCCAGGGCAAAGGCCGGACAGAGCGGGGCTGGCAGAGTCCAGACTCCTGCAGCCAGGGCCTCCACTGCCTTCAGGGGTAGGGAGGCTGCCAGCAGGAGGTCCGAGCAGCCCAGATGGAGGGCATAGACAAGGCTGGGGGTGAGGCGGAGCCGGGCATGGGTCACGGCACCCCTGATGGCCAGGGTGTTGAGCGGGAAGCCCAGCCCAAATGCGACCACATAGAGGGCAAAGGAGAGCTGTGGGGGCAGGTCCATGGGTCACAGTGGCCTAATGGACTCCTGCGTTCACTTGTTTCCTGCCGTCAGATGTTAGGCCCGAAGAGGGACACTCTTGGAATCACAAACTGGCTTCAGCACTGCTCAGGGTGTTAGAAGCCATCTGGAGACAGGGGCCCACGGAGGGAGGAGGCAGCCAGTTAGCAGGGAAGCCTGGACGAGAAGTGAGGCTGCTCGCCCTCAGTCCTCTGCTTTCCTTCCACTGTATCCTCTCTTAAAATGATAAATGTGATAGAGGATTGACAGAAGATAGAACAAAATCTTGCAGGTACCAGAAGCGTGAAGGCTGCTTAATTTCGGAGACTCTGGGAAGAGAAGGGGTAGATAGAATTAAAAACAGAGTTGGGCTCCACAGTATGTGCTTTTCTTAGACATGGAAGTTAGATGTCTGCTTGTACTCTCCTCCCCCCCAATTCTCTGGAAAGAGAAGGAGCTGCTCCCCGACAGTGGATCACCTGTCCCGCAGTGGAGGGTCGGTGGTAGCTCCTAGCCAAGGGAAGAAGTTGGGGTTTGGGTAGAGTGGAGCTTGCAGCAAAGGGCAGACAAAGGCAGCCTCAGGAGAAAACCCAAGGGAATGACCTTAGCTGACTTCAGGGGCACCGTAAGCAAGGGGATCTGAGAGTGCGGGAAATAATTGTTGGTGTAAAGAGGAGCCACAGAAAGAAGGACTCACCTCTTGTGCTGCCAGCTGCCTCTGAGGCTCACGAGTCCCCTTCCTGGGCTGAGGGAGGGTGCCTGGGATGCGCAGTGAGCCAGAAGGAAAAGAAGGGTGGGGTGGCAGGGCCATTAGCCCAAGGCACTAGCAGCCTGGATGAGCAGCTAATGGGGCATCTCCTGCAGGAGCTGAGGCCAGATGGAAGGAGGTAAGGTCTAGAATGACGTGAACACGGGTAGGGGAGATGGCAGAAATGTGGAATTTTCCTGGGTAAGTGCAGAGTGCAGAGCCAGCACCTTGGAGGAGCAGGACTGGTAACACACAACTGGAACACAGATTTATCTGCGCCCCTCTGACCCCCCAACACCCTGTTCAAACCTTTCCTGGGGTAAAATTTTCTCTAGTCCTGGAGGAGTTCCTGAGCAGGCCTCCAGTCACTTTAGTCACCCACAGCATCTCAATTTGGTCATTTTTATGTGGGAGAATGAAATAACTATTCTGAAGTACAGCCTGTGCTCTCGTCCCCTGCCATGCACAGGTGTGGGCATGTGTTGTGAGGAGAGCACTCCATTCTCCCTCTTCTTTCCCCTTTGGCTTGATGACACTGGTTCTGACCCTTCCGGTGTAAGCAGGAGGGGGAGGAGGAGAGACAACGGACAAGCAAATCTGGTTTGGTGGCACGAGGCTAACCCAGTTGTGGTCTCCACTCTGCCTCCCTGGCTGCATGGATGTCAAAGGGGGCTCCTTCTGGGCCCTTGTAGGGACATTGACTGGTACAGTGTGTGCTCCAGTTGTCTGCTTAGCTTTCCTCTCTCAGCCTCTGGGAATTCGGCCATTTACCTCCTGCTGGGATCACCTTGCCCTTCCAGGAAGACCTCCTCAGTCAGATTTAAAATGCTCTGAGGCTGTCTCTGTTGTTCTCTCTCTCTCTCTCTCTCTCTCTCTGACTTTACAGGTGTCTCCCTCTTTCTCTACCTCTACCCTGTCCCTGTCCCTGTCCCTATCCTATCCCTATCCCTATCTCTACCTCTACCTCTGTCTCTGTCTCTGTCTCTCTCTGTCTCTATCTGCTGTCTCAGACTGACAACATGTCCTCTTGACTTCAGTTTTCTTGGGTGTGCATGAGGGTCACCAAGCTATTGTGCCCATCCCACATTCCAACTCACCCAAATAAGTAAATAAGCTTCTTTGAGTGGTTTTCTTCGAGTGCTTCTCACCAGGCTTCAGGTGGGGACAGCATATCAACAACTCCCTCCAAAGAAACAATCTAATTTTCTTTTTCTACCTCAGTCATTAAATTGGTTTCTGGTAGCCTCCCTTCCAAGTCCCATTGATGATACTTAGCCCTTCTCTTGAAATGTAGAACTTGCCACCTCTTGTTTAGGATTTTCTCTTTGGAAAACACTGAGAAACTGACAGAACCAAGGGAAAAATCAAGAGCAGTGCCATTTCACCTCCTGTAACAAGTGTTTGGGTGAAGAACAAAACTGGGTGTAAAGCGAGACATCAAGTCTTCAGGATCTCTGCTCCGAGCTTGCCCACCTGATGGTTCAGGTCTCTGGCCAGAGCTACCTCCTCAGAGGGCCTTCCTTGATCCTTCCATCCAAACAGACCCCTCCCCTGTTCCCATCTCTCTGTATTCATCTTGTGTTGTGTTTATTCAGAGCACTCACTGTTAGAGACATCAGATTTGCTAGCTCCTCTGCTAGAATGTTGGTCAGTGAGAGCCAAGATCTCTGTCTGCTCTGTCCACTGCTTTTTGCACACCTAGTAGTGGCTCAGGGAGTTGAAGAGTCATCTGCCTCGGTCCTGGGAGGGCAGTGAGATCTGGGGCTGGGTGGAAGGCTGTCCATGGCCTAGAGTCTAAGCCTAGAGCTTCCTGGACACCTGCTGTGCATGCCTCAGCAGTGCCTATGAGTGGCCACATCTCTTGGTCAATTGGTCATGAAGTAGATTTACGTCAGCAGCCAGACTCAGGGACAAGATGGAAAGGTACTCACTGGTTGCCAGGAAGCCTGAGACAAGTTTCGTCAGGCTCAGGCCTGACTCCAGCAGCCTCTCCAAAGGGACCCTTCCCTAAAACTCTTTGGGTACCCCAGAGATCCCCAAATTAGGACTATGTCATATCTTTTAAGATTTTATTTATTTTTAGAGAGAGGGGAAGGAAGGGAGGAAGAGATGGAGAAGAATATTGATATGAGAGAAAAACATCAGTCAGTTGCTTCTCATAAATGCCCCCACCAGGGACCAAACCTGCAACACAGGCATGTGCCTAGGAGCAAACCAGTGATCTTTGACTTTGCAGAATGACGCCCAACCAACTGAGCCACACTGGTCAGGGCTGTCATATCTTTTTTGTACCCCAATAACTGGCTCTGAGCTGGATGCGTTGTTATATGCTCAGGAAATGTCTGCCACATGAATGGTTGAATGATACTGGACTTCATTTTCAATACAGAAACCCCCAAACCCCCTCCTTCTCATTTAAATGATTCTTGGAGTCTCCTCTTGCTCTAGAAAAACTGGTGGTGCTCACAGGAAATCAAACGTGGGACAGAGTAGACTGAAGAAATCAGTGTCTTGTTCTGCATAATTCTGAGGATGACCAGAAACTCTTCTTCCCTTTGAGAGCTTTCAGCATTGAGCAGACTGGAAAAGGGGCAGGAAGAAAAGGCAGCACTTTTGAAGCACCTACCATAGGCCAGGAATTTTGCGGTCCTCTTCTTGCTGATTGATTAGCCACACATCCCTCACCCTAAGGTGAATGGGCATTTGCTTGTTGGCAGAAGCAGGAGAATGGGTGGGGAGAGATCAAACCTAAGAAGTGAAAGGGAAGCTGGAAGGACCTAACTGGGAAGTCGTAATGAGTGAACATCACAGGGAGCTGGGGGTGGGGGGCGGTGCCAGTGGAAGGTAGAAAACCTGTGAGGTTTCTCAAGGCAGCTGTGGATTGTAAGTCACTTTTGAGAACAGCTGAGTAATGAATTGGCTTGCCCTTTTTACATTCTTCAAGAGTTGCAAATAAGATGGGAATTTGGTTTGGGGGACTTTTGGCTTTTGGGTGAGGCTTCTTATAATGAGACTCCAGCAATGTTAGGTTATACATCATTTCTTTTCTTGAACTTGCACAATAGGCATCTCCACTTTACAGAGGAAGCAACTGAGGCTCAGATAAGCTGGTGATCTTTGCCCACAGTGGTTCAGTTAGTTAAATAGAAGAGGCTGACTCAGACTCAGACCCAGAGCATGCTTTGCAACAAGATAACAGGCTCATCAGTCTGAGGATTTGATCGTGAAACTACCTTGACTCCTATCCTTTATCCCCAAGCCCCATCCATGATGCCTTCCCCACGTCCCCGTGCTCCTCTGATTCTACAGACTGGAAACAGCTCACTGATCCCTTGAAGTAATATCTGAGCCATGTTTTATTGTGCAGCTCTGTGCTTGTTACATGTTTTCCACACTGGTGTCTATCTCAGACCACAAGGCCCCTGAGGGTCGGGCTGCAGCTGCATGATCCTCTCCATGGAATGCCTCGCAGACAACAGAGGAGAAACCAGCGCCAGGCAGTGCCTCTTTCTACCTCTTTTCTGCCCTTTTCCCTGGACTTTGCTCTAGAGGCAGAAATTAGGCATAAGGTTAGTGAGCAGAGCCATCAAAGTGGGGCAGGAGCGGAGTGTCAAGGGGATGGGGGAAGGATAGAAGAAAAACTTGTCACCAGCTGATCCCAGTAGGGATATAACCAGCCAAGGACGAGAAATAGGAGGGGGTGGGTGGTGACAGATGGCTGGGAAAGGGCAGAGGACTTTGACCAGTGCAGCCTAAATGTTTAGATGAGTTCCCTGGGAGGGAAGGAGAGTGGAGAAAAACCAGGGTCAGCCCTTTTGGATGGTTGGGGTAACGAATGCCAAGAAGAAAGACTGTCTCTGGGCCATGCCCAGAGTTCTCTGTACCAACTTGGGCACAGTAATTGTGTGTGTGTGTGTGTGTGTGTGTGTGTAGGCTATGTAACTTCCCAGCTGAACAGCAGGGGCTGCATGGGCCATGACTGCCCTGTCTCCTACAGCCCCTAGGCACCGCCACCTCAGCCAGTTTGACTCATTAGTGCTTGAGGGTCACGTATTCCACTCCCTCTTGTCTCAGAGGCCGCTCTCCAAGCCCCAAATGAACCAGCTCCGAGTAATGTATCCCTTCGTCTTCTGGAACATCTGGAGTCACATTCTCATAGTCGCCCTGAAAAACCCACATCACAGTCAGCTTGGCTTCATGGTCCCTATCCTCCTACCATCTTCTTTCTCTGCCACTCTCTCCTTGACTGCACTAGGAGATCAAGTGCCCAAGCAGGGGTACTCTGGTCCAGACACTGGCAGCCATTGCCATCTCTGACGGGGAGGTGCCTTCCCTGTGTCTGAGCAACCTCTCCACTGCCCAGCCTTTGACACCACTGAGCCCACCCAAGTCTCCCCGTCCAGGACCAGGTCCTCCACTCTCCCGCCTCCCACAGCCCTGCCCTCTTACCACTTGACGCTTCAGCACCACAGAGTAAGTGACCGTGTTGTCCCTGTTTAGGGAAGTTCTCTGAGCTTCTGGGGTTCCTGCCTCTCTGAAAGAGAGGGCAGATAGATGACTGCAAATGAAGCATTTCTCATGAACTCTCCCCCTTCTCTTAATTCCCCCAGACCCCAGGAGCACCCCATCCTCTCAGCCCTTTATGTATATGCCTAATGCTTGCAGTAGGAGCTAATGTGTCAAATGAGTGGGTGAATGTATGTGTCATGCCCTTAACTTTGGTGACAGAGATTGATCGTGGGCATACTTTCTTCTGGCTTGAAGGAACAGGTCTAATTCCTGAGACCATTACTTACTGAAGGGGGCAGTTTGTTGTGGAGCTGGAATGAGAAAATGCTTATATGTCGATGCCTGGCATGAGCTTGGCACAAAGATGGCAGGTGGGACATGGACTTTTTCCCCCCACAGCCCTCCCAGGGTGCAGCTGTCACCTCCCTGGTATCCTCCATACCCAATCCTTGATGTGTCAGCCTCGGCGAGAGGGAAATGCAGAGTAGCATAGCTGATGGCATCTTCCATCCCTGGGTTGTAGCAGCCCAGGGAGTGGGGGCCTTCAGAGGGGGGGGCTCTTCTAACCTGTGAGGGAGACAAGGTTTGAGCTCTCACCCCTCCTTCCCCCACCACAGCTCCCTTCCCCTGGCCACTGACAGCCTGGGCTTCTCCACAGTACTCTTTATTCCCTGGCCTCCACGCCCCTCCTTTTCATTTTGTTTCCTTGCTTGACTTCAAGGCATACCCTGCACTTTATCTTTCTTCCACCCTACCTTTCTATTCCTCACGAAGAAGCTCTGTGCGCTGGAGTTTTCCTGAAGCTCTTGCTGGCTCCGAATCTTCTTCCAGCTAAGAAATAAAGGTCTGCTCAGTGAGGATCAAGGGCATGGGGGCAAGACTCTGTGCAATGGGCAAGCTGGGGTTTGCAGGACGGAGTCACTGGAGTCACTCCCTGGAATTGGCTGAGGGAGAGAGGAGGAAGAGGAGGGGAAGAGGGAGAAGCGGGGGAAGGGGAGGAGGGCAGTGTGAAGCGCTCACCTTCGCTGAAGCTTGACTCCCAAGAGTGGCAGGAGGAGGATGGCCAGGCAGATTCCCATTCCCAGGGCCACTTGCTTGCTGATGGTCTCCGGACTATCTGGTGGAGAAAGGAGTACCATCCATTGATGCCACTGGCTCAGCCAGATACCAGACCACTCTGCCCTGACATTCACCTCGAGGGCATCCCCGACTTCTCTCTGTAGAGCTGTGTCCTTTTGCCTGTATGATTTCCACCGGTGGGGACATGACACAGACAAAGAGGGAGAAGCCAGTCTTTGCCCTGTGGACCTGCTTTTAGGAGGATAGTGCTTTCTCATGAGGAGCTCCTCCTTTGTGATGGGCAGGGGCATCTCATAAATGAGTACAACTGCTTCAGAGGGCACTTTGGCCATACTATTAGAACTTCAAATCACTGTCCTTTCACCCAGCAATTTTGTATAGGAATTTATCCTGCAACTCTCCTTGCAGGGGTGCCCCAAGCAAGAGGGTATACACGCCTTGAGGAGGGTACTGGGTAGTGAGTTAAGCAACACCCATACACTAGAATATAGCGCAGCCCTTAGGAGGAAAAAGGCCAGTTTCCGGGGTGTCTGCAAAGTGGGAGACCCAGGAAACATTTTTTTATACAATATATTACATTTCAAAGTCAGGTGCTCAAGCTATTTTCCTTTAGTGTCCAACTTTGCAGACAATGATCCTCTAATTTTAAAATCATGGCTCCAAACAATAATCTGAAAAACTATAACAAATAAATTAATACATTCCCTATGTTTCCAAGCTCTTTAGACACCTTGTATATGCACTCTCCAAGTGATGTTATTACATGGAAAAGAAGGAAGTTCAGGGCAAAGTGTGAGCCCTGCCACCATTTGCATAATGAAAGGTGTGTAGATACAGATGCATATTGCGCAAGTAAAGAATTCTCTGAGGAGATGTAAACACTATCCAACAGTGAAGACTTAGGGGAAGGGTAGAGTTTTCAGGGGGAAAGAAAGGAGAGGTGTCTGTATTTCTACCATTTGCTCTTTCATGCTGTTTTAATCTTTTACTATGTACTTGTAAAATGTTTTTTTAAAAAAACACATAATTTTCAAAAGATAAAACAAGGGTGATACAGATAGTGACAGAGGGAGGGACCCAGTAGGAACTCAAGGGCACATGGAAGGTAGAAACAGACTGAGAGGGAAACCTCCTGGAAAAAGTCGAGAGAGACTGGGCAGGAAGGAGGGAAGACTGGTGAGCCATGTGGAGGAAGGGTGTGCCTTTGAGCATACAGGCAGGGCTGGGACGGGGGATGGAGGGAATAAGGGGTAGGTGGTCTGGGATGCACAGCCTTGGGGCAGAGCCACAGGGGTGATCAAGAGGGAAGGGGACTTACAGTAGATAGTGAGGATTCTGGGGGGTGACTGGTCCCTGCCTAGTCGGTTGGCCCCCTGGCACCAATAGGCGCCTGAGTGCTGGACCTTCACAGGATCCAGTCTCAGTGTCTGATCATCATGGTGAAGGTTTTGGTTATTCCAGTCAAACCAGGTGTACCGGGAGATGGGAGGGTCGGCATCACCCTCACACGTCAGTACTGCCTTCTTCCCCTCCATCACACTGTCTTTAGGGCTAATGGACACCCGCAGCCTCCTAGGTGCATCTGCAAGGAGAAGCAAAGTGAGGATCCAGGTAGCCAGATTCTCTCCTATTAGTCTCCAGGTCTAGCCACTCACACAGTACGTGGAGCTTCAATGCCTCAGACATGCTCTGTCCTATGGAGTTGTTGACCAAGCAGTTGTAATTTCCAGCATCTTCTGGAGAGATGGAATCAAAGTGCAGATCTTTTCCTTCCTTCAGAAAGATTCCATTTTTCTTCCAGAAGAAGTGGACATCGGTGGGGTGGCTATGTGAGAAGTCACATCGGAGGACGACTGAGAGCCCAGAGTGAATCTCAGAACGAGGGCTAATCAGCTGGACCTTGACACCTCTGGGGGCATCTGGAAAGCAAGGGCCTCAGTCTGACCTCTTGGGTCCCATTCCTTCTTCCTCTCCCCAGGACTTCCTCTCTCCTTGGTGCTGACTCTCATCCCTCGATTCCCTGTGAGGATTCTGGTCCAGGTTCCAGTCTCCTCACCCTTAAAGCCCAGTATCTCACCTTGCCACCTCCCAGATGCCCCTGCCTAGGCCACTCACACTGGACATGCAGGTTGACAGTGGGAGACCATGAACACCACTGGTTACAGGCTGCACAGGAAAATTGACTGGCATCCCAGGCAACTTTTTGAATCATCAGCACCCCAGGCATTATCTCTTTCCAGGAGCCTTGGGATCGCCATTCATATCTGGTAACACTAGGGTTACTGGAAGTGTAGTTACAGAACAGGGTCACATTGTCTCCTTCTCGAATTGGTGTGGGGTTTTGAATCATCATGGTTACATTCTTGGGGGAATCTGGGAGAAAAAGAGAGAAACGTGTGAGGAAAAGTCAGCTGCTCATAATACCTGTTCCTTTCCACTTCCTCTTTTCCCTCTACCTGTCCCCTGCACCTGTACAGTTCCTAAATTAACCACAGGAAGGCTCACACTTCCCTCTTGCATCCATATGAGGAAAGAGACCTTGCCCTTCCCATTTGGCCTAGCTGTGGTTAGAGGAGGAATGGTGCATCAGCTAGGAGCACAGCTCTGGCAGAGAACATGTGGCGCTGCTTGTGGTTTTCACAAGGGTCTGGGGCACATGGCCAGATGGCTGCAGCATGAGTGGTGGTGGTGGTGGCAATAATAATAATAATAATAATGATAGTGATAATAATGCACAGCTGTGGAGCCAGACTGCCAGGCCCTGCCACTTAGAGCTGTGTGATCATGAGCTGAAAGTCACAGTTTACTCATCTGTCAAATGGGGTCCTAAGAGTATCTAACCCCATAGAATTGTTGCCAGAAGAAAAGAAGATGATGTCCTTAGAGCACTGTAGTAAACACTCAATAAACATCAATGCTACTGCTTCTATCATATAGCAGCCTGTCTAGATGTTCAAGATTGGCGCATATTTGGCCCAGAAAATGGTGTTCCAGGGTCCAAGGATGAAAACTATGAATTCTCTTTGTCCTGAGCTCAACTCAGTGATAAGGCTCACAGAGTCTGATGATGGAGAGGTAATGACACATTTAACCTCATTTCTCCTCAAAGCTTCAGGAACCCTTCTGGGACTCAGCCACTGCTTAGTGATGCCAATTCTCTGTGTCCTTCATGGGACCCTAACATTGTGCAGCTTATTCATTCAGCAAACATCTACTAAGCACCTACCACCAGTCAGGCCTTATTTTGGTGCGGAGAATACAATTGTGAACAGCAGCAGAACGCCCACCCCAAGAAGATTACATGTCAGGAGACCCTGGATTTTGTTTGATGCCCATTCTGGGCTCAGGACCCAGAAATCCCCTCCACTCATTTGCCTTCCTCCTGCACCCACTTCCATCTTCTCCCTCTAGAACCCACAGGCTCTGTAGCTACTCACATTGTACATCCAACTCAGCTGCTTGGCCAGCTTTCCCCAGACCAAGACTGTTTTCTGCCACACAGGAATAATTCCCAGCTTGCCCGAGGCGGACATCTGGGATCTGGAGGGTCTTGACTGTTGTTCTTGACACTTCAATCTTATTCCAATACCAGGTATAGTTTGTTGGAGGAGGATAGGCCTGTGATATACAAGTCAAACTTACTGGATTTCCCTCCTTAGTTGGTGAGATGGTGATTTGAACTGTGGAAGGTTCTGGAGCATCTGGAAAAAGGGGCAGAGGCAAGAGGGGGAGGTGAGCCGAGGCCTCTCCTGCTGACCTCTCAGGGGCCTTGGTTCCACCCCTCTAACTCCCTGCCTGCCCTTCCACAGCTCCCAGGAGGCTCACAGCGCACTTTGAGGACCACTTCTAAGTTTGTTGAGCCTATAGCATTCCAGGCGTTACAGCAGTACTTTCCACTCATCTGCCTGGTCACTTGGGACAGAGTTAGTGTGAGTGTCTCCTGCTCCCTGTGCAGCATGTGCCCACTCAGAGGCTCTCCATATTTGAACCAGGACACATTCAAGTACTGTGGGTTGCTGCTGATGATCTGGCACTTCATGGTCACAGAAACCTTCTCTGTCACAGTGGCTTCTCCATGATCCATCACCATCACAAATCCCTCCTCTGTTACAATGGCTTCTCCAGGACTCGCCATGGTCACAGATTCCCTCTTTGTTACAATGGCTTCTCCAGGACTGAACATGATCCTCAACTTTGGGGTGTCTGGAGGAGGAGAGGGACAGTGGGGGAGAGGGATAGAGAATTCTCAGAGGGTGTAAAGTGGTGAGAAGTTAGTTGCCCAGCTTTTCTCCCGTTAAAGCAGTGGCCTGCATGGAGCATGCGAGGTGTGCAGCCACTCACTGTTGCCGTTGTCAACAAGTGAAGGGTGGCAACTGTCAACACCTCCCACCCCTGCTTCTGCTCTTCCCACCGCAAGTTCCCAAAGGTTTGGTCTCCACCAGCAGCCAGCAGCATTCTTAACATTGTCAACCAGACCTTGCCTCTCTCTTGCTTGAAAAAATTCAGTGGAGTCCTCACTGAGAATAAAACCCAAAACCCTGACTGTTGCCCACAAGCTCAAGAGCCCCGGTTTCTCTCAACCATCCCGTCCTATACTGAGCCCCTCAGACATGGTCCTGGGGCTCTGTGGCCCCTTTCTTGGCACAGAAACACCAAGTTCCTACCTTAAGAATTTCCTCTTCTTGGAATGTTCTTGAAATTATCTGCCTACCTCAGTCCCTCCCTTCACTCAAATTTCGGCTCAAGTTCACCTGCCTCACAGAAATCTCCATCTCTTACTTCCTCTGCCCAAAACTTGCTTTATTTTTTTTTCTTAATACACTTAGCACTAATTACTCTTATGTTCTCTATTTCTTTATTGATGTCTTTATTGCTTGTCTTTCCCACTGCAATGCTAGCTCCACATGGGCAAGAATTTTGCTCACTGCCATCTCCCCAGCAACCGTAATAAAGCCTCACACTTAGTAGATCTGCAAAAAATATCTAATGAATGAACAAATGAGGCACAAATAATCACATGGAAAAATTCCTCCCTTCTCTCCTCAAAGAAGAACAATAAAACCTAACAAGATGATCCCAAAATCATGTGATTAATTCTCATTGCTTGGGGATAGATTAAAATATTTTATTCTTTTAGACCAAAGCAGATGCTGAAATCAATCAGATTTCTGACAGTAGGGATGGTGGAGGAGTGAACCCAGCTATGTCAGGACCATCCCCAGCTTCAGGGACCCACAGACTGATTATGCTTCTTCCGTGGAGGTTCCTGCTACTCTGGGTGCTCACTGAGGTGTTGGGAGAAGAGGACAAGTCTCTCATCCTTCCCATAAGAGCATTGGAGAGACTCACGCTTCACATCTAGCTGCACTGTTTCCTCAGAGAGTAGCTCATCTGCGTTATCCTTCCAGAGCTGACAGGTCAGTTTCTTGCCATGGTTGGTCCAGTCTGGCTGGAATGTGAGCTGGTTCTGGGTAAAGACAGCCTTGGTGGTCAGGGAAATTGAGAGGAGAGAGGGAAAGCTATGTGATGACCCCTCCAGGGACCACTGCAATTTGATCTGGTACCCAAAGCAGGCAAAATCCAGCTGGCAGGTTAGAGTGACTTCCTTTAGCTCCTGGATGTTTGGAGGGAGCTGAATGCGAGGTCGGGGAGCTGTCTCTGCAAAAGAGTAAGAACCATAATGGCAGCCTGGGAGACAGAGGACTGCTGCATACCGGCCTCTTACATCTGGCTTTAGACGCTGTGCCCCAAATAACTCCTCAGGAACCCCTTCCCAGTCTATTTACCTCTCTCCGGCCTGCCTTTTTCTGCTGTGAATCACTTTTGCTCGGCTGCAGCACCACCCCCTCCCCACAGAAAGTCAAGTGTTGAACCTCCTTAGGATTTATATTTTATATTCTGTACTTATTTTATTGTCACTGTCAAATGTTTGCTTTCTAAATGTTTTCACAATTGCTCTCCATGTCACCCCTAAGTGAATTTCAACATGCAGTTTAGTTCAACATACATTTCTTAGCTTTGATGACAAGACTGCATTGTTTAATGACCTCAACACAGCATTGCTTTAGGGGGTTCCTTTAGTAGACAAGGACTGTGGGCAGCCAATCACAGCTTTCATGGGGCCGGGCCACCCTCAGACTGCAGGGTCTGAAGCCACACTTCTCACCCCAGGCACAGGGCTGCCTAGAACCACCCAGCTGAGAGAGGCTATGAAACAGATTGAGCACAGTACAGGCCCCAGAACTGTGTTTGATCCGCCTCTTGCATGTGTGTGTCGTTAGCCATGAAGAACCAATTAGAATTAAACGCCAACATTAACACACTACAAGATTTTACTCAAAATCTAAAGTTTTATCTCCTCTTGAAAAATCAGGTAACCTGCAATCCAGATTACAGAACAGGCAGAAACTGAGTGGCAGGTGGGATGCTTAAGAAGGAACAAGGGCTCATGCTCCAGCTTGGGAACAGCCCCATGTCTGTGCTGCCTGAGTCGCCCACTGGCACCCCTGCCTGGCCTTTGCAGGCAATTCTCTTTTGGGGCCCCTGTCCCAGGAGTTGTGTTTCCCACTTCCCTCCTTGCCCGTGCCCGAGCAGAGGGCCCCGTCCCCCAGGGCCTTACTAGAGATGTTGAGGGCTATTGTCTCCATCCATCTGTCCTTCCCCGACGTCACCCTCAGCCCCAGCATGCCGTTGTCTTGGGCATTGACTGTGTGGATGTTTAGGGTGCAGTTGGATTTGTCGTCTCCCAGGAATTGCACTCTTTTCTGAGGGTCAGATGTCCCTGACTTTTTCTTTACATAGAGGACTGTCCCATTGAAGTCCTTGGCCTTGGTATCATACTTATGATTGTGGTACACAGTCAGGTTATCCAGGAGCTTTCCATCCCCTGGGATTTTGTAGCTGCAGGGAATCCAGACGCAGGTCCCCTCCCAGGCGTAAAGGGTCTTCGGGAGCTCAAACATCCAGTTTTGTGAGTCAGAGAAAGCCAGGTATTCTGGAACTCACCACAGTGATCAGAAAGCATTATTGAGGGGCATGGAGAGCTTTCAGAGGAGTAAAGAATCCCCTCTAAAAAAGAGAGACACACACAAAGAGAGCAAGACACAAAGAAAGAAGCATACATACACATGTGTTCACTGCCCACCCTACCCCACATTTACTCTTTTCTGCCCCAGATCTTTCCTTCTTCTCCAGCTCCAGTCACCCCAGAACCTAAGTACCAGCCCAGGCCACAGTCCTTACCGAGGAGCAGGAGCAAGGGGCTGAGGAGATGCATGGTGTTGTGTCTAGGCGAGGGCCTGGGGTGGAAAGAGTATGTCTTTGAGGCATCCGGTCACTTACTTCCTCCAGACAGCTTTTCTGGCTCATCCACTGAGCTCTAACCCCTTGTCCTCAATCCCTGGAAGCCCATGTCTTGTTGTATGGTGGGGTGTGGGCTTCTGGATGAACATGGGACCTTCTCTGGATATGCTATGCCTCTCCCATCAGCCCAAGAACGCTGTTGAGCTAGCCTCTCTCTTTTTCCGTTACTCCTTCCTTTCTTCCATCCATCCATCCATCCATCCATCCATCCATCCATCCATCATTGCACAAACTTCCTGACCAGCGCTCAAGCTTTGAGTAGCACCAGACGACTGAGTACCAAAAGTGCCAGACCCTGGAAAACTTGAGGCTCACTTTGGGGCAACCAGTAAAGGTTTTTACATAGGAGAGAGACATGGCCAAAACTTGATTTTAAAGACCAGGAGAAAAATAGCTTTAAAACCAATAATTAAGTATGATATCAGGAGAGCATATAACAGGGTCTGAAAGGACTTAGGAGAATGTGGTCCCTCTCAGATGTCCCCAGGGACTGAGTAGAAAACATAAATCCACCAGGTGGAGACAAAGGTCATGGGTCATGCCTTGTGTAAAGGGGATGGCTATCTCAGTTCGAGGCAATTATTGCCAAGTGGGAATGTAGGCTTATCACTGCCTGATCTCCCTCTGTTTTAAGAGAAGTAAGAAGCCAGATTGCCATGTGAAATGTCCTGCTTTAAAAAAAAAAAACAAACAAGCATGGTGTTGGTCAAACAAAACCTGTCTGTGGACTAGAGGCAGTCCAAGGGCTGCCAATGTGCAACTGTTTCCTCTCTCTCTCTCTCTCTCTCTCTCTCCATCTCTCTCTCTGCAGTGAACTGACCTGCCACCTTACTATATTCTTTACAAAGTTACATTTACATAAAGTTAAATTTAAGTCCCAATTTGCATGGCTGTGCCCTCAGTGCCAATCCCCAGGGAGCCAGGCAGGATGTGTTCATAGAGTGTGTCTCCGTTCTCAGCACAAATCCGTGCCCCTCCCACCCACCCAGCCAACATTTCCCACACATTGACTCCTCCACCCACCCACCCACCGGCTTTGTGGCTTCTGCCCAAGTCTGTTAGTATCCAGTACCTGGGATGGGGAAGCTAAGCTGCTTGCTGAAAGCAGGAAGGGGTCTGTTGCTAGGCTTAGTGGCAGTAAGGAGTAAGGCTTAGGGGTCAGAACTGGGTTAGTCTCTTTAAGCAGAGTTGATAACCAGCTCTGTAGGTGCTAACAGTGTTACACATAAAAAAGTCTTCAAGGTCAGATCCATTTGAGAGAAGCTGATTTTTAAAAAGTAAAATAGGATTATTTACTGCAGGTCTTTTCAAACCCTTCAAGCACAGTGTGTGTGTATGTTGTACATCTCCCAGCATGATTGTTAGAGCACACTTCTTTAGCCATGGAAACTACTTTATGTTTTCCATGAAAATCTTGGCAGGGTTGCAGGGTCAGTGTTTTGAGAGATGCACTTTGGATACCCTTTGAGTTGTTACAAGATCAGTGGCAAGAGCCAACTTCCATGCCCCAAGGCAAAGACTAGCCTCCGGTAGCTGGGCCATTGCACCCCTAGCTGCCACCAGCCACCAGCCATGCCCTCACTGAGAACTGGCTTAAGAATTCCAGGATGAGTGGCAGAGGAGCTGCGTGGTTACCCGAAGAAGCTCCAGAAAGTCTCTGGGGGCACAAGAAGTGGGCTCCAGGCCTGGAATCGAAAGACTGCTGGGGCTTGGTGGAACTTGGAAGCTAGGGACAGAAGACATTAGGTACAAAGACTCAGGACAAGGCTATACCATTCAGGACCTCAGAGCTAGCCTCCCTGAGTTTGTGCTTCCCTCTTGGGCATCTAGTGACCCATCCTGTTCTCAGAAGACTCACCAAGCCCAGCCGGGAGATGTTCAAAGATGGAGCTCTACAACCTGCTGTAACACAGCAAGAGAGGGTGGGGGTCCTCACTATACTACCAGCCCCAAGAACTGTGCCTGGCACGCAGTAGCTGCTCCATGCTTGCTTGCTGAATGCAAAAGAGAACAAAATAGTTTTTTACCTGTTTTCTGGTGTCTTCCCTCTTCAGAGATCCTGGAAGTATCTGAGAGTAAAAGGGGAAGCACAGTGAAGTCTGTTAACTGATGTTCACCCTCTTTGGCCACACCCCCTGCCCTTGTGTGGTTCTGAGGGTGACTAAGAGGTATGATGAGCTGGGGAGTGGAGAAACGAGGCAATGAAGGAGATACGGGCTTGGAGTCAGGAAGAGTGAAACACTTGAATATCTATGGTCAATTTTTTGTTTTAGTGTATGAATTTTCTACATCAGATGAGTTTCAGAGCAGACTCCTCCACAACTTCGCCTCTATCCAGACCTTAAAAGTGCTAATGACTCAATCCAAGCAGATGAGAACTGCCAGCCTGCTGTAAAAGGCACAAGTCAACTTGAAAGTGTTTGTCATTTAGTGTCACCATCCAATTTTTCTCATTCCCGGTACTTTCCCTCTGTAGGCTTAAAAAGTAAGGAATCTGACTACTGATGCTGATGTTTCAGCAACCCCCAAGGGTTGAGAAAGAGCACACAGATATCAAAAAGAAAGAAGATAATTTATGTGAAGTATTATTGAATGGGCAAATCTTGAAACTAAAACCTCACTACTTTTCTCAGGTGTGTAGTCTGTGGGTGTTTGAGACCAGAGCTAGGCAATAGGTAAAGCCATGCAAATCCTACAGATGATATGGGAAACTTCTGAGAAATCTTCACTCTGACACCATTACACTCTACAGACTGCTGGGCATTAAGAAGGAAATAGAGTGAAGGCCAAGTTCTCAAAAAGCAGTGATGTTCTGGGACGTACTAGGTATTTTCGCTGTAGCATCCTTGATGCAAGGATTTTTGCCACAAATATTTGTGCCACGTAACTAATTGGCCATAAGGCAATTTAGCTATAAAAAGATAAAATTATGAAAAATAAAAGAGGAATGTTAAAAATAAAATTAAACATAAAATTAAAAAGACTTTATTGGGAAATACAAAATATTTGAATACATTTAAAATGTGTGTAAATTCCTAGCAACACTGTACAAATAACTGACTTTATTTTGTATCTAAGCACTTGTCTTTGGTCTGTGGGAAATGTGGGTTCAATTCTGCACCCAAAAAGAGGGCTCTTGGCCTCTAATTTTACCCCAAATGTAGTATGGTTTCAAAAAATGAAACCAACTCTTGGGGCAAATTATCACCTGGAAGAAATGTTATTTTAAGACCAGCACCATGTCTACTTACCATTGTATAGACCACTGTGAAGGCTGGCAAAGATCATTTATAATACAAAAATGTGAGTAACTGCAAACACTTTGTCAATGGAGAAATGAAACCAAACAAACAAAAACACCAAACATTTTTTTACAGTGGTTGATTGATTAGTCAATGAAGAAATGAAACCAAAAACACAAGCAAAAAACCAAACTGTCAACCAGTTGTTTTATCTTTTTATGGCAAAATTGCCTTATGGTCTATTAGTTATGCAGCAAAAATGTTTGCAGCAAAGATGGTACGGCAAAAATACCGGACATGGTTCTGGGAAGATGGTATAGATGTACTTTCCCCTATTTATTCTTCTAAGTACTACTAAAACCCCTGGACCCTATAAAAGAAGCATAAGAAGACTCTGAAATGTGGAAAGAAAACACACTGGTTAGGCACCTGAGGACCTGAGGGATGAGATGGCAATAAATCCCACGGGTTTTCTCTTTGCTTCATGTGTCTCAGACCGAATTCTGGAGAAGCCAGCAACTGAAAATACCAATAGGCCCAGAAAAAAAAAAAAAAGTTCCAGCAAAATTCTGCTGTTTTTAGCCAAAGAACCAGGAAAGAGGCAGTCTAGGTAGAGATCCTTCAGGCAACAACTGCCGTACTCCAAAAAAACCTGAAGCCTCACCCGATTGCCCTGACAGCAAAATGTGAGTGGGGAGCCTAGACTTCTTTAACAAAGATGCTCAGGCCACTCCCTGATACCCCGTCTAAGTGATGCCAGAGAGGCTGAGTCCGGAGCTGGGCCCTCCATCCCCACTGGGCTCTTCCTCCCCACAGTGCCAGTGGAGACCACGTGGGGAGCCTGAACATTCATCCCTGCCCAGTGGTGATGAAACATTTCTCCTTCGCTGCCTGGAGTGATCTAAGAGAAGTCTACTGGACAGTTAAAATGTCCACCATTACTCAGTGATAAGAAGCCCACCTCCTGTAGTGGAATCTGTGTGGAAGCCATGTGAACAGCCATAATAAAGTATCTCTCCCCTCTCCCAACCTAGAGCAGTAATAGTGGGTGCCTAATGGGGAACCTGAACTCCCACCCTTGTCCAGCAATAACAAGGAACCTTCACCCCTCACTCCCCAGGTGTCAAGGGAGGCTGAGTGCAAAGTCTGAACTTCTACCCCCACGTAGCAGCAGTGTGGCAGCACCCCACTTCACTTCACTGGAGCAGTATCAGGGAGCTTGCTGTAACACAGATTTAAGTAAGACCCAGCCCTGTAATATGGTGCCTCAAGTTCCAGGTTTCCATTGAAAAATCACTTGTCATACTAAGAACCAGGAAATTTCTCAAACTGAATAAAAAGAGATAATCAGCAAATACAAATGCTAAAATGCCACAGGATGCCAAAATTATCTGACAAAGATTTTGAAGCAGCCATCATAAAAATGCTTTTGTGAGGAATTACAAACATGCTTGAAACAAATGAAAAAAATAGAAAGTCTCAGCAAAGAAATAGAAAATATAAAGAGAACGAGAACCATTTTTGAACTAAAAAATACATTAACTGAAATAAAAACCTTAATGACTGAGCTCAGCAGCAAAACAGAGTACAGAAGAAAGAATCACTGAAGTGGAACACAGAACAATAAAAATTACCCAATTTGAACAAAAAATAAAAAATAGATTGAAAAAAATGAACATGTGTGATTATAAGATCTAACATTCATGTCACTGGAATCTCATAAGGAGAGGAGAAATAGAGTGGAGCTGAGAAAGTATTAAAAGAAATAATGGCTTTAAATGATCATAATTTGACAAAACAAACAAAAAACCTGTATCTACAAATTCAAGAAGCTGAACAAATCTGAAATAGGATAATCCCAAAGAAATCCATGCCAAAACACATAATGGACAAAGAAACTTGAAAGCAACCACAAAGAAATGACCTATCACCTATAGAGAGAAAACCAATTCAAATGACAGTAGTTTTCACATCAAAAGCCATGGAGGTCACGAGGAAAGGAAACAACATTTTTTGGATGCTGAAAGAAATGAACTATAAACCCAGAAGCATATATTTAGTGAAAATATCCTTCAGGAAGGAGGGGAAATCAAGGCATTCTCAGATAAAGGAAAACTAACAGAATTGTTAACCAACAGAGGCCTGTCCTTTAAAAAATGACTAAGAGGAACTCCATAAAGAGAAAGAAAATGATTTTTTTTTAAAGGAATCTCGAAACATCAGGAAGAAAACAAGAACATGGAAAGAACAAGCCTATGGGTAAATACAAAATACTTTTCTTCTTGAGTTTTCTAAATGATGTTTGACTGTCAAAGCAAAGCCTACAAAACTGTGTAATGCTGTTCTTAGTGTATGTTGGGGAAATATTTGAGACAATTATATTAGAAACAATAAAGGATAAAGGGATGTAAAAGGAGGTAAGGTTTCTATACTTCACCTGAAATGGTAAGTGTTGAAACCGGTAGACTTATAAGTTATATATAATGTAATAGTTAGAGAAACCACTAAAAAAGTTGTACAATGTGACATACTAAAAAACATGACAGATAAATAAAAATGGAAGCTTAAAAATTGTTCAAGGAACCCAAAGGAAAGTAGGAAAAAGAAAAACAGAGAAATTAAAAACAGAGAGAACAAGCAGAAAATAAAAAGCAAAGTGGCAGACCTAAGTCTTAGCATTAATCACATTACATGTAAATGGTCCAAATACATAAATGAAAAGGTAGAAATTGACAGAATGGATTAAAAAAATGACCCAACTGTGTGCTGTCTATAAGAAATAATTATAAATATAATTATGTAGGTAAGATGAAAATAAAATAATGTAAAAGGGTATGCAATGCAAACATTAGTCAAAAGAAAGTAGGAATGCTTATATTAATAACAGATGAAGTAAACTGCAGAACAAGAAAAATTACCAAAGCCAGAGAAGGATATTGTAGAACAAGGAAAGAATCGATCCACCAGGAAGACATAGCAATTCTAAATGTGTATGCACCAAACAAGAGAATTGCAAAATATGTGAACAAAGACCAATAGGAATCAATGGAGAAATAGACAAATTCACAGTTATAGTTGGAAATTTTAACACTCCTCCCTCAACAATTATTAGACCAACTAGGCAGAAAATCAGCAAGGATACATAAGAACTCAACAACACCATCAACCAAAAGGGTCTAAATATGTACCTATGGAACATATACCAAGATAAACTAAATTTAGGGCCATAAAACCAGCCTCAAAAAATCTGAAATAACTTAAATAATACAGAGTATATTCTCTGACCACAATGAAATTAAACTAGAAATAAATAACAGAAAAATAACAGGAACATCCCCCACACACTAGGAAACTAAACGACACACTTCTTAATAATCTATGGATCAAAGAGAGAATCTCAAGGGAAATAGAAACACATTGAACTAAAAGAAACAGAAAATGGAACTTATCAAATTTTGTGCAACAGGCCAAAGCACTTAAGGGAAATAAATAGTAGTAAATGTTTACAGTAAAAGAAGAAAAGTCTCTAATCAATAACATAAGATTCCATCTCCAGAAACTAGGAAAATAAGAGAAAAAAACCTAAGGCAAGCATAAGAAAGGAAATCATAAATATAAAAGCAGAAATCAATGAAACTGAAAACAAAAATAGAGAAAATGAAATATCTGATTTGCTGAAAAGATCAACAAAATTGACAAACCTCTACCAAGACTGACAAATAAAAACGAGAGAAGACAAATTGCTAATATCAAGAATGAAACAGGGGATGTCACTATAGACCCTGTAAACACCAAAAAGATAATAAGGGAATACTATGAACAATTCCAT